CTGACATAAAAGAGCCCCCCTGATGGCTAACCTGCCCCTGCTTGCTTCTTTGGGATGTCACTGGAGAAGACTCTATCCAGATCATTTTCATTGCCAATAATCTCTAGATGCAGCATATGCTCTTGCCAGAACTTTTTGCTTTCTTTTTGTCTTTGCAACCTGGCAGTGAAAAAAAGAAAAAGCATCCTGTGCAAGAGAGAGAAGCCACGATCCAAATTCAGGCTTGCTGTCCGCATGGAAGAGAGGACTTGTAGAACCAGAACTCGGACGTTTTCTTGATAACATTTTAGTGCAACCGTCACTTGATTTTTATCCATATTTTTCTTGCTTTCTTTTTTTCCTCTCCCTGTTTTTTGTGGAGTTTTTTTTTGGGGGGGGTAAAAGCAACAAACCAAAGGAATCATGTTGTGGGGCTGGATTTCATAAAAACAAAATTGTACTTCTGACACAAGTGGTCTTTTAATAATGTTGTGAATAATTGTCCATTGAGTTTCCATACAGCTCCATGCCACTTTTGAGAAACATCTTAAAAAGCCTCCTTGAACTAGTCAGAAACAGACTGTTACCTGTATATAGTCTAACACTTGCTGGTGTCTTTGTTTGGCTGCAGCGACTTCACTGTCTGAAATTGCTTCCCTTAGGGACTGCTGGGTTTTCAGAGAGTCCAGCTCTATGACAGCAGAAAGGCGGCAATACAGACTAATAAATTTCTCCTTGTAACAGCAAAAATGAACTGTGAAAAGGGCAGAGCAAACAAGAAATAGTGTTATAGTCTGGTCCTGAAATGCTGAAATCTTTCTTTCTCAACACCAGTTTTAATTAACCGTACGTATTAAAACCCTTGATAGAATATGTTCGGGCAGAAATAAATGACAAGGGCTGGATTCCCTTTTTTCATACGCTGGTATAATCGCACTGACATCCCATATAGTCCTACAAACAGCCAGATCCCCCTGTTTAGGGATCTACCTCTGCCGGCTGTCTCCAGACTCCGCATTTCCCTGGTGCGCACGGTGTGCTACACAGCCGTGGGCTCGCTTTCACGACAAAGTTAATTTGAGCCGCACCTCAAGTTGTTGGTCCCGTCCACAGACCAACATCCTCAACTCAAGGTGGCTGGCCCAAGAGCAGAGAGGCTGAATCAACATCTCGACAGGTGTTAACGAGACAAGCTCCCCCCATTGAGAGAGAGTTCAAGGAGCGGCTCAGGAGTCGTGCCACGGAGAGGTGATGCCAGCCCAGCCATGGCAGTGAGGGTGTTTTCCTGCAGTGCGGCCACCCTCACTTCCGCTGGGCTATGCAAGGGCCCTAATTCATGTGCAGTAAAGACAGCTGAGAAAATGTCAATCTGAGCGGATTACGCTTTTCATATGTCCTTCACTACATATCATCTCCTGCCTGCTTATGCAAAGAGCGAGAAGGGAACCCAGAATTAATGCTTCGCTTAATGAAGATTTGATATTACCCCTGGGGGCCGCCTACACTGCAATCTGCATTATTCAAGCTAACTTTCATAGACGTTAGGGCCTGGAAGGGACCTCTTGAGATCATCAGGTCCAGCCCCGCTGCGCGTGGGGTGAGATGACCCCAGCAGGGTGAGCATCCAGGTGTTTTTTGAAGATATCCAGAGTCAGTGATTGTACCACTTCTGTGGGGAGTCTGTTCCACACCCTGGCCACTCGAGTTGTAAAGAGGTTTTTTCTTATGTCTACTCTAAAGCGGTCTTCTAGCAATTTATGACCATTAGTCCTAGTCTTCCCCTGGGGAGCCCTGATGAGGGCTCAATGGAGGCAGTCAAGCCACAGCAGCACAGAGCGTCGGGTAGGCTGATTTACCCTGCTTTTCAAAGCTAGGCTGCTCATGGGGGTCTCTGCACCACACTGCAGTCTGAAGCCTGCCCTAACACTTAATGAAGGAGACCAGACTTTAAAACACCGTCATGTTCCCATTCACCGGCACTGTTATCAACACAGTCTTGGGCACACGCTTGTCACGGCTCCAAGTGGCAGCTGGCTTGCTGGTGCTGGTACCTGTCTGTGCTTCAGTCTGGGTTATTAACTATGTACCAAGGTAGCTTAGCACATCTTAGGGGCCTTTGCACCCAGGTTTCAATCCAAAACATGGACATAGAAATAAGAGAGGGCATCTCTCTCTCTTGTGCATGTAACATGATAGTCAAAATAGAAATTAAGCCATAAAAACTTTGCAATCCCAACAAAGACTGAACCTGAGTGAAGGGACCCCAAAGACGTGAGAGCAGAAAGAGAAACCTATCCTCAGCTTTCCGCTCTTACGCCTTGGTCATGCAGAGATCTAGTCTGAATAGTGTGTGGTCTTCCAGTAGATATGCCATACGTGCTGCACTCTTGAGTGAATTACAGCCGCGGTTTCAGCTTCAGTGCTGGAGTTTCTAGCCTTTGTGGTTTTAAGTCAGACCCTTTAATGTTACTTTAACAAATGTTGCTTCAACATAGTCTTTTGTGGTTAGGCAATTATGCATTTGGTAGCCGCCAGCTAATGGGGAATGGAAGCTTCTAATATTTTAGATGTGAATCACAGCCATTTTATAGAACATTGGGGATACAGAAGTAATAAATCAGATAGAAAATGTCACCTGTGCATGGCCATAGGACTGCTTATTTTATTCAAAATGTAGAGCTCAGCTCTCAGGGCTGTTCCTTCTGCCTCACTCCCCCTCCCAGGAGCCCAACTGTGCAGAGCGGGGTGGGCGCAGGCTGCCAGATTAGATATCGCCCTTGTCCTACTGCCTGCAGCAAACTGCACTGTCTACATTTCCCCATCCATTCCCATGGCCTTTTTCATCCTCATTCATCAATGCCCTGCCAGATTTTCTCCTGCCTTAGGCCACAGTGCAATTTAAGAAGCATCTGAAACCTGTGGCTGAATTCTTCATTCCTGCATTTCTGCATCACAAGTGGCATTAAATACCATCTCAGGACTTCAGATGGTTGGACTCTTACCCGTTGCCTCCTGTTAGTTTGGTGCTAGGCTCTCCTTTGTACACAGCTGGATTGAAAAACATGATTCTAATTCACATTCACTACATGCTTTTAATGAATGCAGAAACTGGGCCATAGCTCACCACCATTTTCTAGCGTGCAACTAAGTGCGCTCTTAAATTTCTACCTTTGAGATTGCCAACATGCAAATCTATGTGACCCGCTGAAATGCAGGAGAGCTGACCAAGTGCAGGACACCTGTGGTCCAGTGAGCACCGGGCCACGAGCTGCGCTGCACGTTTCCGACGGAAAATAAATGCCTTTTGTAGAGATGTGTTCTCATGGTGTGAATCACCTAAATCAGGCCAGCAATCTGTGACAGGTTAATGGGGAGAAGGAGGTCTGCAGACTGCAGCCTGGTTTTGGTGCTTCACGCAGGGGGAAGAAAAAAGCACCCTTAAAAGCAAGGGATATATTTAAAACTATCCTGATCTGTGGTGTACAGTGTCAGGTACAAGGTGTTCCATCTTTTGCAATCAGGCTTCTCACCCGGGCCCCTGGCAGATTTGGGAATGGGGGTCTTTGCCTCGGCAACTGCATAGAGCCACATCCCAGCTACCAGGCATTTCATCCACGTAAGGATGCACACCTTGCTGGGGTTGTTTGACCCCAGTACTCTTTCCTGCCATGGCAGGGGGTCAGACTAGATGATCTGCTCAGGTCCCTTCCGACTCTAGAAACTATAAGGTCTGTTCTCACCACCAAACTTACATCTCTTTGAACCACCAAACTTTTCATCGTTGAACACAAGGCACCATCTCCCCATCCCAGCGAATGGTTGTTTCCCTCCACAGCCCCCCAGACTCTCCTCCTCAGCAAACGCAGCTAAAGCACAGCTTCGATGAGCACCTGGCTGGGGTCGTCTGACCCCCTTTCCTGCCCAGGCCAGGGGGTCAGACTCGGTGATCTGCTCTGACCCTAAAAATCTATGAAATTTGGCTAAGGGGAGAAAGAGGGAAGAAACAGGGCCCCTGGCTCCCTGGCTGTGAACAATACGTCAGCCTCAGCAGCTTCCCCTCTTCTCCTGTCCCAGCCCAATGAAAATCACTGGGAGCTCCTCCTGGTCCCTCCTAGATCCTTCTCTTGGGACAAAGCGGGGACAGAGACCTCAGGTGCAAGCACATCTACCTCTTCACTTCCCCATTAGCCAGGCGGGAGCTCGTGCCACTCCAGCCAGCAGCGGGGCAGGAAAGCTGGACTGGTTGCCATGCAGTTACAGTTGAGGGTCACTGTCCAGTGCCTTCAGTATACAGTGATATTAGTCTCATAGCAATAAGAAGTTTACTGCATTTTGGGCCTGCCACTTCTGCAGGATGAAAAGCAAACAGCTGCCTGTAACCTGTGAAATTTAGCCCAGTACTTCTGCAAAGCTCCCACGGAGTGGGACCGTCTATAAGTAAAAAGCTGCAATAGTTCTTCAGCATAAAACCACCAGCTCTTTGCCTTGACCTACTTCTTTTCCAAGATCATGCAAATCCTACTTCAGAATAAAGC